TGTCTTTTCGTTTTGGTGACTTGGAAGTCCTTTTGCTGGAGAGGTGAAAAACACATTTTTCTTAAATATGAAGCGATTTTAGTGCATGATGGCTCGTTGGAAAGCTCTTCAAATTCTGAGACGTTTGATACCAAATCCGACACACCTATAAGGGGTCGTTAGGGAAATACAACTGTTTGAAGGTGTCCAAATTGACATCAGAGGCCTCTGTTAGAGTGCTACCGCACGCGCATGCGCGACACCATTGTGGTTATTTTAACACAGTTGGATAGCCAATGTATCCCTTTCAATGTTTCCAAAAGATTTGAAAAGATTTGGTTATTGCAAAGTGTTTCAAGAGACCTGTACATTTACTCCCAAAACGAAAATTGGCGCGTTTCTCAAACACACAAGGCAGGACAATGTCTTTTCGATTTGGTGACTTGGAAGTCCTTTTGCTGGAGAGGTGAAAAACACATTTTTCTTAAATATGAAGCGATTTTAGTGCATGATGGCTCGTTGGAAAGCTCTTCAAATTCTGAGACGTTTGATACCAAATCCGACACACCTATAAGGGGTCGTTAGGGAAATACAACTGTTTGAAGGTGTCCAAATTGACGTCAGTGGCCTCTGTTAGAGTGCTACCGCACGCGCATGCGCGACACCATTGTGGTTATTTTAACACAGTTGGATAGCCAATGTATCCCTTTCAATGTTTCCAAAAGATTTGAAAAGATTTGGTTATTGCAAAGTGTTTCAAGAGACCTGCACATTTACTCCCAAAACGAAAATTGGCGCGTTTCTCAAACACACAAGGCAGGACAATGTCTTTTCGATTTGGTGACTTGGAAGTCCTTTTGCTGGAGAGTTGAAAAACACATTTTTCTTAAATATGAAGCGATTTTAGTGCATGATGGCTCGTTGGAAAGCTCTTCAAATTCTGAGACGTTCAATACCAAATCCGACACACCTATAAGGGGTCGTTAGGGAAATACAACTGTTTGAAGTTGTCCAAATTGATGTCAGAGGCCTCTGTTAGAGTGCTACCGCACGCGCATGCGCGACACCATTGTGGTTATTTTAACACAGTTGGATAGCCAATGTATCCCTTTCAATGTTTCCAAAAGATTTGAAAAGATTTGGTTATTGCAAAGTGTTTCAAGAGACCTGCACATTTACTCCCAAAACGAAAATTGGCGCGTTTCTTAAACACACAAGGCAGGACAATGTCTTTTCGATTTGGTGACTTGGAAGTCCTTTTGCTGGAGAGGTGAAAAACACATTTTTCTTAAATATGAAGCGATTTTAGTGCATGATGGCTCGTTGGAAAGCTCTTCAAATTCTGAGACGTTTGATACCAAATCCGACACACCTATAAGGGGTCGTTAGGGAAATACAACTGTTTGAAGGTGTCCAAGTTGATGTCAGAGGCCTCTGTTAGAGTGCTACCGCACGCGCATGCGCGACACCATTGTGGTTATTTTAACACAGTTGGATAGCCAATGTATCCCTTTCAATGTTTCCAAAAGATTTGAAAAGATTTGGTTATTGCAAAGTGTTTCAAGAGACCTGCACATTTACTCCCAAAACGAAAATTGGCGCGTTTCTTAAACACACAAGGCAGGACAATGTCTTTTCGATTTGGTGACTTGGAAGTCCTTTTGCTGGAGAGGTGAAAAACACATTTTTCTTAAATATGAAGCGATTTTAGTGCATGATGGCTCGTTGGAAAGCTCTTCAAATTCTGAGACGTTTGATACCAAATCCGACACACCTATAAGGGGTCGTTAGGGAAATACAACTGTTTGAAGGTGTCCAAATTGACGTCAGAGGCCTCTGTTAGAGTGCTACCGCACGCGCATGCGCGACACCATTGTGGTTATTTTAACACAGTTGGATAGCCAATGTATCCCTTTCAATGTTTCCAAAAGATTTGAAAAGATTTGGTTATTGCAAAGTGTTTCAAGAGACCTGCACATTTACTCCCAAAACGAAAATTGGCGGGTTTGTCAAACACACAAGACAGGACAATGTCTTTTCGTTTTGGTGACTTGGAAGTCCTTTTGCTGGAGAGTTGAAAAACACATTTTTCTTAAATATTAAGCGATTTTAGTGCATGATGGCTCGTTGGAAAGCTCTTCAAATTCTGAGACGTTTGATACCAAATCCGACACACCTATAAGGGGTCGTTAGGGAAATACAACTGTTTGAAGGTGTCCAAATTGACGTCAGTGGCCTCTGTTAGAGTGCTACCGCACGCGCATGCGCGACACCATTGTGGTTATTTTAACACAGTTGGATAGCCAATGTATCCCTTTCAATGTTTCCAAAAGATTTGAAAAGATTTGGTTATTGCAAAGTGTTTCAAGAGACCTGCACATTTACTCCCAAAACGAAAATTGGCGCGTTTCTCAAACACACAAGGCAGGACAATGTCTTTTCGATTTGGTGACTTGGAAGTCCTTTTGCTGGAGAGGTGAAAAACACATTTTTCTTAAATATGAAGCGATTTTAGTGCATGATGGCTCGTTGGAAAGCTCTTCAAATTCTGAGACGTTCGATACCAAATCCGACACACCTATAAGGGGTCGTTAGGGAAATACAACTGTTTGAAGTTGTCCAAATTGATGTCAGAGGCCTCTGTTAGAGTGCTACCGCACGCGCATGCGCGACACCATTGTGGTTATTTTAACACAGTTGGATAGCCAATGTATCCCTTTCAATGTTTCCAAAAGATTTGAAAAGATTTGGTTATTGCAAAGTGTTTCAAGAGACCTGCACATTTACTCCCAAAACGAAAATTGGCGCGTTTCTCAAACACACAAGGCAGGACAATGTCTTTTCGATTTGGTGACTTGGAAGTCCTTTTGCTGGAGAGGTGAAAAACACATTTTTCTTAAATATGAAGCGATTTTAGTGCATGATGGCTCGTTGGAAAGCTCTTCAAATTCTGAGACGTTTGATACCAAATCCGACACACCTATAAGGGGTCGTTAGGGAAATACAACTGTTTGAAGGTGTCCAAATTGACGTCAGAGGCCTCTGTTAAAGTGCTACCGCACGCGCATGCGCGACACCATTGTGGTTTTTTTAACACAGTTGGATAGCCAATGTATCCCTTTCAATGTTTCCAAAAGATTTGAAAAGATTTGGTTATTGCAAAGTGTTTCAAGAGACCTGCACATTTACTCCCAAAACGAAAATTGGCGCGTTTCTTAAACACACAAGGCAGGACAATGTCTTTTCGTTTTGGTGACTTGGAAGTCCTTTTGCTGGAGAGGTGAAAAACACATTTTTCTTAAATATGAAGCGATTTTAGTGCATGATGGCTCGTTGGAAAGCTCTTCAAATTCTGAGACGTTTGATACCAAATCCGACACACCTATAAGGGGTCGTTAGGGAAATACAACTGTTTGAAGGTGTCCAAATTGACATCAGAGGCCTCTGTTAGAGTGCTACCGCACGCGCATGCGCGACACCATTGTGGTTATTTTAACACAGTTGGATAGCCAATGTATCCCTTTCAATGTTTCCAAAAGATTTGAAAAGATTTGGTTATTGCAAAGTGTTTCAAGAGACCTGTACATTTACTCCCAAAACGAAAATTGGCGCGTTTCTCAAACACACAAGGCAGGACAATGTCTTTTCGATTTGGTGACTTGGAAGTCCTTTTGCTGGAGAGGTGAAAAACACATTTTTCTTAAATATGAAGCGATTTTAGTGCATGATGGCTCGTTGGAAAGCTCTTCAAATTCTGAGACGTTTGATACCAAATCCGACACACCTATAAGGGGTCGTTAGGGAAATACAACTGTTTGAAGGTTTCCAAATTGACGTCAGAGGCCTCTGTTAAAGTGCTACCGCACGCGCATGCGCGACACCATTGTGGTTATTTTAACACAGTTGGATAGCCAATGTATCCCTTTCAATGTTTCCAAAAGATTTGAAAAGATTTGGTTATTGCAAAGTGTTTCAAGAGACCTGCACATTTACTCCCAAAACGAAAATTGGCGCGTTTCTTAAACACACAAGGCAGGACAATGTCTTTTCGATTTGGTGACTTGGAAGTCCTTTTAAGGCAGGGCGGGACAACTTAGGAATGGCCAGGAGTCCGAACTTGACCACACAGAAGGAAGCGAGCTACAAAAACATGTTTTATATCATTGGAAAGCTCTCGAGGAGTCGAATCCAAATAATGTGTGTCCCAGTGTGTTCACATGTTCATAAGCTCAAAAATTGGCTCAGAAAATACATTACTGCAGAAATTTCTGGCCGAATTTTTTTTTTCTGCAGAAATTTCTGGCAGTATTTTTTTTTTCTACAGAAATTTCTGGCCGAATTTTTTTCTGCAGTAATATTTAGCAGAATTATTTTAATTCAGGAGAAATAAGATTCAATCATTGGATAGTTTGAATTGAATTCAGCAATTGAAGATATTTATCTTGGTATTATATTTACCAAATTTATCAAGAAAAGTTGACGTCACTCGAATTAAACAATGGAACAACATGTTGGCCTCATACCTTTGTATACTAGACAGATGCAAATCATTGAACCTTGAGCTTACCCTATCATTATCTAAATTATTATGAGAATTTCAGTGACCATCTTCAATGGCCTTTTGACGACTTTGAAGTGTACAACATTAAAGGTGAATGTGATTCTCAAAAAATAAATTTCATAATTATTCCATCGGGCCAACCAAATATATAATCCCCAGTTGGAATTCAAAGAAACAACCTACATGTGATATACGGTACTCTGAAAGTAGGTTAACTTCAGACATGGAAAAAAATAGAACACAACCAAGATTTTACAATATAACTGCATATATTGTTTCATAAATTTCTTTGTGCACATCTCATCTTATATATGTATATATATATACAATTCTAAATACACAGCTTTACTAAGAAACAAAAACATACAAAGTACAAAACTCCTGCAATGCAATCCTCGGCAATATCTCAGCCACATAGCTTAGACAAAAAATATGTTCATTTCAGCAAAACTTGCTGCTCCTTCTTTATTGTTCTGATACTGACGCTTGTCTTCGGTGCTTTGTCAGAGTGATCTGAAAGTAAAGAAAAAAAATGTAAAGAATATGAGAACATAATTAAAATCACAGTGCATCTATACAATAAAAGCAAAAATAGTAACCTCATGAAGTTGGGTTGTTTCTCTGCCCACATTACACATATTCTAAGTAACGCTGACTAACCCTAATATTACACATCACAATACATATTTCAAAAGAAATGCAATATTTATTGAAATTACCTTTGATTGTTTTTGCAGTTTTTCATTGTTCTTCTCTATTGCCTCTTGAACTTTAGTTGGGAGGGTTGTCGCTTCCCTTGGGGCAGGCATGAAGGGCTTGAAGTCTGATAGCTTGGTGGTGGGTGTCCGGATGTCCCCAATCTTGAAGGAGGGCATCGCGGGTTGTTGCAGGCTTCTGTCTAAGTTCCCTTGCACTAAACACTTAACAGTTGATCCAAATCTTCATGCGTGTGCCCCACCATGAGAAAGAAAGTTTCACCTGAAAATCGTATTTACATCAGTATTATCACTATGAAAACAAATCAAATTGTACGAAACTTGTTTATTTTTACAGAATATTGATTTGAATATTGAGAGAAAAATCAATCTTGTGCATTTAAAAAGTTTCAACATTGTGTGCAGATTCTTTTATACTTAGGATGAGCAACTGGACATGAAATACTTGCTTCAAAACAATTGTAATGTGGTTTAAAACAATTTACATAAATTATAAAAATATTAACCACATGTGACTTCAGCATTTACTTTGAATTGTATAGTATAGCCTCAAGGAATAAATATGCTATACATGATATTGTATGTGGAGTCATATACCAATAATTTCATTGATAACTATCTTCATGATAGCACTAAAAGTGATACCTTGGATTGCAGCGTCCACTTTTGACTGGCCGACAAAGTCTTGCAGCTTTACTGGTCCTGGAAATGTCAAATAAATATTTGAACAATACATAAATTGCAACTTTAATGTAATTGGATAGTCATACAAATATAACAATTGCCAATTTCCATTCTCAAAAATCCACAATTCCTCCAAAATTAGACAAGCCTACCAGACAAACATTGAATTTATTCAACAGGCCCGTACCAAGCATTTAGCTAAGACAAAGATAAATTTCTATCCTTCTAAACGTGTGTTACAATTATAATGTACAAACAAATGTCTTGACATACATGGCACGATCCCATTACATCCTTTACTAATAATATTGGACAAACTACAATAACGTAACCCATATATGTGCACTGTGGATACTAAGCTCCACTGGTTTCTAAATAAGAATCTACATAACTCCCTACCAATAGGATATGTAGACAGTAATATATGTTTTGGTTTGGTTTGTTGTTTACTGCCGCATTCAGCAATATTCCACCTATATGACAGCGGTCTGTAATTAATCGAATCTGGACCAGACATTTCAGAGATTCATATCATGAGCATCAATGCAGGTCAGCGAGCCTGACCACGCAATAGTGTTAGTCGCCTCTTAAGACAAGCATAGAATTCACTGGAAACTGGAAAGGAAATATCACAAAAAGACATGGTGTGCTTGGATACCAATTACACAATAATGACCCATTAAATCGGGATTAGTGCACTTTACCGGGCGCACTTTTTCAGATCCAATTAGCGCTGTTGAGGCTCGAACGCGCTTCGCCGACTCACCGGCTCTGCTAATTAATGCGTTAATTAGCCGACGCTCTACCACTGGACCACAGGCGCTATCACATGTAATCAGTGCTCGTTTAACAGGTCATTAGAATCACCATTGACATGCATGTGTAATTGAGTAAACAATGAATTGCGCATGCGTGTGACGTCACGGCCCGCTCTCCCATTCATCTTTTCTTGAAACCACACCCGCAATTGTTTATGTCAACAACCAATGGGATTAACTGAATTAACGCTTGAAAAAGTAAGAATTTATGGCTAACCCTTGCCCAAAGCCAGCTAACCCTAATGACCGAAAAACGGGTGTTGGATCGTAAAGACGTGTAAGTTTCCCTAAGACCTAGAACGGGTGTTTGATCGTAAAGATGTGTAAGTTTCCCTAAGACCGAGAACGGGTGTTTGATTGTAAAGATGTGTAAGTTTCCCTAAGACCGAAAACGGGTGTTGGATCGTGAAGCGAGAGTCACCAGAGCGTGAGACACGGTAACGGTATAACGAGACAGCGTGGCACTATAGCGCGGTAATTGAGCGGATGGTAGAGCTCGGGCTGCGCCCGGTAAACTGCATTGTTGCCCAGAAATTCGAGAAAAAAATTCGCGAAATTCGATGTCGACATGTCCTCTCAAAACGAAGAAAGGGTTCTATCACTAGGTCCACGCGAGAGTATGTCTCGTAAACTTGCCTAGCCCTACGCCTACTGTTAGCACCACCGAGTAGACCGAGCCACCCACCAACTCGCACCCTAATTAAGTCATGGCCCTGTGGGCAACGAGGGCAACACTTACCTGGTATACGACGTACGTAACACCAATATAATGCCACGCGAAGCCATATATATATAAAGGCTACACAATCCGCGTATGTTCGCAGAGCCCTGGCTCTTCCTTTCCTAGCTCATGTTGACATTTTGATAAAAAAAAAACATGCACCGTGCTTTGATTCCGAAACGAAATTTAAATTGGCAACACAGTCGGTGGTGGTAAAAAAACCCAGCGCAACGAAGCCGATGGAGTACCTCACCCCTACATTCGCCGTACCAGTTTATTTTCGCGTTCGTAGCTCAACTCTACCTAATAGTGCCGATACAATAAATGAACTATAGTTAACGACATTGCACATAAGCATTACTTACCAATTTCAGTGTTTTTCCTTTTGGGCAGATTTCTTGAAGAAAGATGTCTGCCTTGACTGTTGATGACGTTGATAAGATCTGTAATAGGGTAGCAACATGTTCAGTGAATATGTTCATAAAGAAACCATGATCCAAACAGAAGGCAAAAGTTCTTCAAGATATATACAGTGTTTGGTGTACAAAAATAGAATAAAATGCCTTACCCATGTCAACGTTGTTGAAGCAGAGCTGGTGAACCCTCCTCAAGGCATCCAGAGCTTCTCACTGCGACCAGAACTTGGGTTTTCGATGTGATTTACCGACTTGTTGAATAGTTATCGTTTGATCGTCTGACAGAACGTTCTCGACGATTTAACGATATTTAACGATACCTGATTAGGGTTAAATCTATATATATACCATTTTTATGGTCGGGCGTCCACGGCTGATTGGTATATCAAATCAAACACAAGGGTGTATATCATGCCCCTGAGTGTTCACGCCTCACTGGGTGGTCACGTAATAAGGTGTGGCACCAGCATCTCGGGTTACAATTTGATATTAATTCAAGTACTCCACTGATAATGTACATAGGTAGTTAACTTAATTACATTCAGTTTTGTCCGACAAGGAGCGAGTTTACTTTTTTTTAGACACAGACTTTGTAACAGGCTCTTCCCCTGGAAACACATATATTGTAAATAAATATTTTGCCGTTTCCATCAACTTTATCACGTGATGTTCTATAACTGTTGTCTTGTACACTATCCATAGTGTAAGTCAGCTGGCTCGAGGAATTTTCATATAGTATTATCATTAAACAACATACCCTATGCAACAGTTATGTTGCTACCCAGACAAAACTATTTTTATATTCTATGTTAAATGTAAACGATCAGTTTTTATTATAAATACAAAACCACCTTTTAAGCGGTAATACCTATCACGCATTAAACAACATATATGAACAACCATGTGATTATAAAGTCTCACGTTGGTTCCTCCGTGCAACTTCATGCCTGACTTACATTCATATTGTTCTTTCACCACACTTACGCTTCTCCAAATTTAGAAAGAAGCTGTGTACACAGTGTTCTTGCGAGTTACAATAACGCGTCCGGTTTGGCGGCAACTTCAAAGAGTGGACATATGGTTGCTCCTTCAGGTAGCTATAATTACCCTCTCTATAATGCAATATCGTATTATCCATTTGTAATGAATGATAGTAACACTAAATCGGATTGGATTCAGTTAAATCTACATTTCTCAAGGTCTCTAACATCGAGATTTGAAATATCTTTCATGTAAATACCTTCTTTGTCATGTGACTTGTATATATTCAGAATCGTACCTACGAACAATGTATTTGAACAATGGCACAAGCAACGTGGTCTCTTTCTGTAAAACATAGCACTCTTTATTTCAGCCACAGCAAAGATCCCGAACCACGTGCAGTCAGCAGAGTTACAGCGTCTTGTTACCGTCTTGCAGTTACGATACAGGTAAGACGTCAAAATATTTTTTTTTTTTTTTGGAAACGCCGACCCTAGAACGTGGAATTTTGGTAACACGGTTATTTCATATAACAACTACCAAATAACAACCTGTACTACAAACAGTGAATGTGTGGCTCTGCTGCCATGCGAAACGCGATTTGTAAGAGTCTAATTTTAGTGTATTTATTTCTACCACTTTTGATAAAAAAATACGCAAACAATCTAATCTGAAAAGGAGATATCTCCATCCCCTATGGTGTTATTGCGACTTGTATACTGTCTACATGTACATTAGGCAACTTATTGTAGCTGTATGGCGACACTTGTAGTGTAGCTATGTGACCATGAATTTGCCTGTGATGATCAGTGAAAGTGAAAACACGGAAAATTACAAAATACCAATCCATGCAGTATTTTGATGATTTACATGCGAGTTTTCTATTATTTATAACGTTAGAAATATTTAGATAAAAATAACTTTATAGACCCTATGTTTATTAATATAACAAATTGTTGTATTAATGTTTTCCTAAAATAAACATATATATCATCTTTTCTTATTGCCCCATCAAAGCTGGTGTTGAGACAATATAGAATACCCAAACGACGCATATTGTACGTGCCGTGCCGCCAGACTTCCTGCCAACTTGGCAATTAAATATCCTCGGGTATTGTCACTTCATACGGTGATACATTGTCTCGCGCACGTGGTCGGTGGGTTTTGTCTATCAGCGCCACGATCACGTGATCGTTTTGTTAATTACTCTGTGTTACGGTCTCGCCGATTCTAAACTTTCAAAGCCTTCAATAAAATTTATGAGATCATTATCTTATCTTTATTCCGACTGAATCCACCTTTATTTCAGACGCCCCCTCACACACACACTCCCAATGCAAATTCACTGAGGCTTGACCGTTACCAATTAACAGCTGTCAATTAAACAGTTCGCATCTAAGTAGTATGTTATCGAATATAATGAAAACCTTTAGCGTGCTACTTTAGGGGGGGGGGGGGGGGGGGTTAAAGGAGGGTGTTGGTTGTTCACAGGGTTACTCGACAATCACAATGTATACCGGTATTTCAATAATTGTATGATATATTTAGTCCTTGGGCAGCCCCAATCTAAAAACAACAATAAAATCCTAACTCTCACCGACTCCCTTAGTGGACTAAAAGCCCTCCAAAACAAAAATACCAAAAAACGACCTAAATTAATAAACCAAATACTTAAAAGCTCCGACGACCTAACAAAAGCAGGCAAACAAATAACCTTCTTGTGGATCCCCGCCCACGTAGGACTTTACGGCAACGAAAGCGCCGATAAAGCAGCTAAATTATCTCTCAAAATACCAGTAATAAGCCTAAACCTACCCATCTCAAAATCAGAAATTAAAAGTGTAAACAAACAAAAAATAACCATAAAATGGCATAATCAATATCAAAACTCAAATAGCCAAATCAAAAAAGTGCTCAGAAAACCACTAGCCAAAACCTAAAATCCTACACCTCTCTAAAAAAATTGACAGATTTACTACAAAACTCCAAACAGGACACACGAACCTAAATAACCACCTAAAAAAACTTAAAAGACACATCACAGGCAACTGCCCCCACTGCAAACAACCCGAAACCACAGAACACGCACTCATCCACTGCACCCACTACCAAACACACAGAACCACACTACAAACCAACCTCAATCTAAATAAGGTTCCTACTCTAGATGAAATACTAAACCCTCAAAATATACCAGAAAACTCCAAGGCCCTAGTCGTATTCCTAATCAAAACAGACCTAATTAAGCGCATCTAAAAACTAATTATTCTACCAATCCAAAATCCAATAAACATACAAACACCCACCTCACCCGGCTCCCTTAGTTCCCTCCTCCACCCACCTCGGCAATTATTCCAAATTTAAAAATTCCAAAACTTCAATATAAGCAACCCCTAAAACCCCCCTCTTGGGTTGCACACATCACTTTCACCCTTTTCGGAATACAATAAATGGTCCGGCCAGGCCCGTGTGCGAAATACGCTACAGTCGGAAAGCGCACGTTAAATCTCCTATATCAGTCAGTCAGACCCCAGTGTTTCATATCATTTTCCCACCAAACTAAAAAAGAATAACCCCCAACTGGATATGTTTCGTTTCGTCTGTCGATTCATATTTTGGAAATTCAAGGGGAACCACTCCGGCTTATGCAGCACACACATTTGGGAAGGTTGCTTCAATAATAATAATACTTCTTACCATGGTTTCACAGTCGTTCGGAACTTTTTTAAGATCTGACATCAGATTATGCTGTCCGAAAATTTATCTATTTTTTTTTAGTGGAGACAGGCCTATCGGAAATTCGAACTTGAACAGCAACGCCAAAACCACATTCCGCCGCAGTGACCAGCTGCTGATGACATAGACTAGGCTAGCTTTACACTAAGTCTTGTACCAGGCTGGCCCCTCTGGGTAGTAGGTCTGGTCTCTCCTTTGTCCTTGGACCCTCTTTCCGATCATAAGGGTTGAGTACCCCTTGCCAATGAAACACGTGTTTACCATCCTTTTACCTTAGAGCACCCATTTACGACACATGGGGTTAGTTTTGAGTTCGGTTATGGTTTAGAAGTCTCTTGATATAAACATATTTATTTCCATAAAGTGGAGGGATTGGCAAACAAGCAAATTTTGCTTATCTGAATGCCTCTCCCAAACATGATACATAAGTCTCTTTTAACGAATTAATCCAATGTAATTTTCGCAGTATACTCATCCTTATATAATTTCAGCTTCATGACAGTGTGAACATTGAGTGCCCCCTACACAAGTATGCAGTCACTGACAACTTATGGAGTGACCTATACAAAACGGAAGATGCAGACGACTAGCACAAGCACGCACGCACACACACACTCAGACGCACGCACGCACATGCTATATAAGTGCAATTATCTTGGACGCGACATTCAACCCAATTTCAACTCACCTCACTTATCTTACTTTGTTCATGTGCCTAAAGTTTGTGGAATGTGTTAATTACTGAAATGAAAAGCATTTTAATGTTTTTTTCATATCTTTTCAGAATATGTGCACATAGCTTTCAATGACCAGACGAAAAAAAGAATTCATTTCAAGTATGTTGAGAAGAAAACGTAAGTAAAGCACACTATTTACATTCATAATACATTTTATTCCGCAGGCTCTATTGTAAAGTTAAACTCTAGCTGCGTATAGGCTGCCATTATCCATTATATTAGACAATATGGATCCACTCATCTATACATCTATTTTCTTTTGTGACAGGACCCATCTCTGAAAAAATCACCTCACCCAAGAAAATACGACTCATTCATGAGAATGAAAAGTGCAAAGTCTCCCAAGAAATTGTCTTGTAATATAGCATGTGAATAAATAATTTTTTGAAATATCTCACGAAATTAGTTTTATTTTATTGCTTGAAATCATGTGAACTAAAAATGTTTGTTTTGAGGAAAAAGGTCATTTGAAGCAACTCCAGGTTAAACTATCCAATGATTGAATCTTATTTCTCCTGAATTAAATAATTCTGCTAAATATTACTGCAGAAAAAAAATTCGGCCAGAAATTTCTGTAGAAAAAAAAAAATTCGGCCAGAAATTTCTGTAGAAAAAAAAAATACTGCCAGAAATTTCTGCAGAAAAAAAAAATTCGGCCAGAAATTTCTGCAGTAATGCATTTTCTGAGCCAATTTTTGAGCTTATGAACATGTGAACACACTGGGACACACATTATTTGGATTCGTCTCCTCGAGAGCTTTCCAATGATATAAAACATGTTTTTGTAGCTTGCTTCCTTCTGTGTGGTCAAGTTTGGACTCCTGGCCATTCCTAAGTTGTCCCGCCCTGCCTTTTTTGCTGGAGAGGTGAAAAACACATTTTTCT